TTAACATCAGTCATAGAGATACAGAATTTGCCCTGCTGGGTTTCAGTCTTGCTTTGGTCCAGTATTTCCTCACCATGGCCCCTTTCCTCCTCTCTTTTGGAGGAGTAATGTATATTTTGTGCCATTAAATGTTAGAAGTAAATAATTTGATTTTTTATTTTGATTTTACAGGACCTATAGTTGAGAGATTACCTTGAGTCTCAGAAGAAACTTTGTGCTCTGGACTTGTAAACAGTCTTGAGACTGAAAGACTGTGGGGACATTTGAAGTTGGACTGAGTGCATTTTGCACTATGATATGGCTACAGGCCTATGGGGGCCAGGGTGTAGACTGTAGTAGTTTGAATAAGAATGGCCCCCATAGGCTCAAGTGTTTGAATGTTTCATTCCTAGTTGGTGAACTATTTAGGAAGGATTAAGAATTGTGGCCTTGTTGGAGAATGTGTGTCACTGGATGTGGGTCTTGTGGTTTCAAAAGCCAATTCCAGGCCTATTCTCATTTTCTCTCTTCCTCCTGCCTGCAGATCAGGAAGTAAGCTCTCAGATACTGTTCCAACACCATGCCTGCCTGCGTGTCACCATACTCCTCACCTTGATGGTCGTGGACTAAGCCTCTGAAACTGTAAGCAACCCCCTAGTTAAATGCTTTCTCTTATATTTTTCCTTGGTTATGGTTTCTCTTCACAGCAGTAGAAAAATAACTTGAGACAATGGACTTAAAGCTACGTATGACTGTTGATTGCTTTCCTCTGTTGGCAGCTTGCATAGCACCATTGAATACTGTAAGAAGTAGTCCTTAGGGATGAGACTTAGAGGCTTTTTCCAGGTCAGTTTTTCCAAGTCCTGTGCCTGAAGTGTGTGGTGTCTTCCACAGTAGGGTCATACCTTCAGATCCTGGTAGGCAACTGAGGGCAATGGCAGTGGCCTATATTCCTTGGGAAAGTGTCTTACACTCCCCTAAACTGATTTCAGGAATTTTTAACATCCTCTCAGATTGCTTCATTTAGCTACTAATCATTAGGATGTAATGTTTAATTTTATTTAGATTGTTTCATTTCTGTTGTTTCTCATTGATAGTGATTTATAATTTTATTGCTTTATGATCTGATGAGATAGAAAATACTACTTTTATTTTTAAATAATTTTACTTGCTTGGTGACCAAAATTGATATCTATATCACAGAATATTCCATAGGTTGCTGAGAAGATCTGTATCCTATAGCTATTGAATGTAATATTCTATAAATACTTGCCCTAGTCTGCTTTCTTGTTGCTGTGAGAAACACCATAACCAAAAGCAACTTGGGGAGGAAAGGTTTTATTTCACCTTCCAGCTTAAAAGTCCATCATCCAGGGAAGTCAGGGCAAGAATTCACGGCAGGAACCTGGAGGTAAAAACCATGAAGAAATGATGCTTACTGGCTTGCTTCCCCTGGTTTCCTCAGCTGCCTTTTTATACAACCCAGGACTACCTGCCCAGAGGTGGCATCTCCATCAGAGAGCTGGGCGCTCCCACATTAATTAAAAATATGCCCCACAAACTTGCCTATAGGCTAATATGATGGAGGCAATTTCTGAGTTGAAGTTCCTTCTTCCCATATGAGTCTAGCTTCTGATAATTTAACAAAAATTAACCAGCACACTGTCCTAAGTCTGTTTGATCTTTAGTGCATTATGTCTGTGTTAACTGTCAATTTTTATGTTTGGATTAATTATCTACTGACAAGGGTTGAGTATTGTGTTTATTGAGTAGCTACAGTATTGTTTTATAATACTAGGTATACCAATATTCAGTGCTTACTTATTTATTGTAATGATAGCTTATTGATGGGTTATTCAAAATATTTATTGGTTGTCTATGTATTCTGAATAAATTTTTGGCTTGAAATCTACTTTATCAGATGTGAGCATATAACTAGACCTGGTTTTTTTCTGCTTCCAAGAGCTTGGTATATTGACTTCAGCCCTTTTTATTCAGAGTTTACTTATATTTGACGAATAGATTCACTCCCCTCAGGCACCAAACATCTAGGCTTATCTGTAATGCAGTCGGCTAGTTTGTATCTTTAGATTCAATAGTTAGGACCATTTTAATTAAGATTAATATTAAGAAAATTTTTTCATTCAAGGAATTTTTTGGTTAATTTCATGGTTTGTTCAAATATTAATTGGCCTTGTTATTCTCCCTTCATTTTACTAGGCACAAGATTATTTACTGAATTGTAGGTTTTTTCTATAATTTTCTGTATCTTTAACTATCATGAAATAAATTATTTTCTGTTTTCTCACAGTTAACACTCTATTTAATCCTCCTCTCTTTGTAGGATTCCTTTAAATATATTTCTGATATGCTGGCTTGGTTGCAACTGATTGCTGTAGTTTGTGGAAAATCTTTATTCACTGACTTTAGGGGATAACTGCTGGATATAATAATCTCACTTGACATTTATTTGCTGTAATGCTTAAAACCCATCATTTGCTATTTTTGTGGCTTTCAGGTTTCTGCCAAGAAGTCGGGTGTTATTCTGATTGGTTGTCATTTGTAAGTGACATGGATGTTTCTTTGCAGATTTTGATGTTATGCCTTCATTCTTTAGTCTTAGCATACTGTCCATATTCTATAGCAGTACATTTTACTTCTGATACATCTTAGAGATGTTATATCTGTTTGGAGTCTAAATGCCTCTCGTGCTTAAAATTTATTTATTTTTTCTGTAGAATCGGGAAATTGTCTCCTTTAATTTCTATGACTGTTTTCTGTGTCTTAAGTTTTTATCTCACCTCATTTTTCTGCCTGTAGATATATTTCATCTTATGGTCATACTCCAGAAGTTTGTGCTCAAGATGGCTTATTTTTTTCCTTTACTCATATATAAATATGATATTTCCTTCAACCAAGAAATTTAATTAAATAAAATAAAATTTTTCAAAAAAGAAAATGGCCCCCAAATTGAGTGACACTATTAGGAATTATGGTTTTGTTGGAGGCAGTGTGTCACTGTGGTGGTGGGCTTTGTACTCTCCTATGCTCAAGCTACTGTACCAGTGAGACCATCTATTTCCTGTTTCCTGCATATTAATATGTACCAGCTCCTTCTCCAGCACCATGTCTGCCTGAGCACTGACTTCTATGCTTCTCACCATGATGCTAATGGACTAAACCTCTGAAACTGTAAGCCGCCATCTCAATGAAATATTTTCCTTTTTAAAGAGTTGCTGTGGTCATGGTGTCTGTTCACAGCAATAGAAACCCTGACTAAGACATATACATAGAGAGGAAAACATTTAATTGGGCTGGCTTTCAGTTTCAGAGGTTTAATCCATTATCATGACAGGAAGCATCTTGATCCACAGGCAGCAGAAGGAGACTGTGTATATGAGCAAGAGATATCAAGACCATGATTGGAAAAAGTAGAGAGACAACTAGCCAAACTAATGGAAACATATGAACTGTGAACCAATAGCTAAGGAGACCCCATGGTACTAGACTAGGCCCTCTGGATAAGTGAGATAGTTGTTTAACTTGAACTGTTTAGGGGGCCCCCAGGCAGTGGGATCGGGACCTGTCCTTAGTGCATGAGCTGGCTTTTTGGAGCCTAGGGTCTATGACGAGACACTTTGCTTATTAGCCTTGGTGCAGGGAGGAGGGGCTTGGACCTGCACTTACTGAATATACCAGGCACTGCTGACTCTCCAAGGGAGACCTTGCCTTGGAGGAGGTGGGAATGGGGCATGGGTTGAGGGGGAAGGCTGGGGGTGGGAAGAGGGAGGACAGGGAAATCTGTAGTCAGTATGTAAAACGAATAGAAAATCTCTTAATTAAAAAAAAGAAGGAGACTGTGTCACTAGGCCTAGCTTGAGCATATTAGATATCAAAGCCTGCCTCCATAATGATACACTTCTTCCAACGAGGCCACATCTACTCCAAGAAGGCCAAGCATTCACACACATGAGTCATTGGGGATGGTTCCTATTCAAATCACCACAGGGACAATCATTTGTACTGACAGTAACATTCTAAGATGAGTGGATAGTCTACCCTTCTTGCATTATCAAGATAAGTAATATAATGGTTTCTCTGCAGAGAGATCAGAACACCTTTTTTTTCAAAACCTTGTCCAGGACTCATTTTATTTACTGTCTGTTGTTGTTCTTGGTAGTGTTATTTTTGGAAGTAATATGTCCCTTTGCTCCTCAGTTTTGTCTTAAACAATAAGAGATCCTGTCCAGCTTCCAAGAAGAGATCCTGTCCAGCTTCCAAGAAAAGATCCTGTCCAGCTTCCCAAATATTTTTTGACGAAAGGCACCTTGGCAAGTTTCTTTGTCAAGAGAAAATAAAGTGCTAAGTTACAACTGTGTTTTCCAATAAGTGAGTTTTAAATGAAAAACTTTTGCTACTGTGCCTGCCCACTAATTCTGACTGCTCATTATCTGAGCTTGAGACCTGGCCTAGTAGAACCTGTAGCCAGGAAGTGGTTATGTCTCATCATAGATTAATTTTTTAATAGGTAAAGTTTAATTTTTTAATAGGTAAACTTCTTACATAAGAATATCTAGGGAGGTGAATGGATACATACTCTGAACCTGCTAACAATGTGGTCCATGGTACAGCACAGCAGAAGGATCTAGAGACAAGGACCCTGACCTCTGAGGAGCCAATCAGGACTCTCCAGTGGCTGCTTTAAATTGAGAAGGCCCAACAGTTAAAAGGGAAATCGCCATCAAGACTGTGGCATCCCCCAGGGGGAATGTCTCTTAGAAAATGAGTGGCTGCTACTCTTGAGGACATGGAAAGTCAGAGGACTTAACGGACCCTCACATTTAGGTTAATGGCCAGGGTAGAGGGATTAATCTGTGATCTTGATGGATGACCACTCAGGGGTTTTGAATCGGCTTGTGTGTGGCATAGGTTTCTTTTGTGGTGTCAGTTTCTCAGGAGGTAGTTGTTTCTTCTGAGATGGTGGTAGCTTAAATTATGTGACTAACTATTTCCTATTCCCTCTTTAAAGTTGTCCACACATCCTCCCTCCTCCTCTTCAAAGATTTATATTCCTCAGAAGGACTTGGTGGCGTTTCCACAGTTGCGGTGTAACAATTTGGACTTCTTCATCAACCAGGGATAACATGGTGAGATGTCTTTTATATGTGAGTCCTTTAAAAGAGTAAGGACTGAACTGTGTAGATATGTATTTCTCTTTCTACAGTATTTGATTATTTTAACTTGGTTTTCACATCTGAAGAGCAAGTACATACTCATGTACCTGTGTTTCATAACTGATGTAGAAGAGTGTGATTTCATTCAGTATAATGAGCTCTGGAACTTTGGAAATGCACTGGAACTTTGCCAGACACTTGTTATGTAACCACTCACTGGCCTTTATGATGCTCCTGGTTCTGTCTCTTTAATGGTAGTGTTGCAGATGTGTATCTCAGAACATGACCTATTTATTATTTTCCTTTAAATTATAAACTGATTTTAGGTGCATAAGAAAATGTGCATCTAGATTTCCCTAGTATACATACCTTATACATCCAAAAAATTACCAAAACAAAGAGATTGCTGGATAATAAGTTAACTTCATATTTCATTTGAATTTGATGATTTATTCAAATAATACTGTCATTGAATTCCAGGACTCCATGCAAGATACCTCAGTGAAATTAGTCATCATTTCTCCACAGTCAGTTTTAGTAGGGCAGTTCCTCAGTCTTCACTGGACTTCACAAGCTCAACATATGTGAAGATTCCTGGTCAGGCACACTTCCCAAACTTCTGTCCATTTGGATGGGTCTCACAATTTT